GAGGTGGAGGGAGCGCGTCCCGAGAGGAAGCTCTGGCGCCAGCCCCGCGGGTTGGCACCGCGCCCCTCGCCACGTGCTCCTTATTTATGTGCGATGTTTTTAAGTCCGCGCCTATTTGGTAACTTAAATGTATCCAAAAGGAAACCCGCCTGAGCGGTGGTCACAGGCTGAACGCGCGGCTGTGCCCTGAGCTCCCCTACCCCCAGCGCCCTTTCCCTGGCCCGGGGGCGCGGGTGGGTGCGTGGGGTGAGGGGCGAGCGGAAAGGAGGCGCTGCGGTGGGGATGAGCACCCCGGAACCTCACCGCTGGCACCCCTCCCCTGTCCGCGAAGGAAGCCCAGACTTGTAGAGGGCTTTTACAGAAATGTATCTGAGTCGAAACAGAGGGTAAGCCTGGAAGCAGGACCTCAGCAGACTGAGCAAAACGCTCTGCGGGGTCACGCCCGCAGCTAGTTCCCCGCATTTGGGATTAAGGGGGGAGGTGAGGAGGGTCGCTGGGGTGGGAGGAACCTGGGGAAGCGGGTCCCTGGGCGGTTCTAGCTGTCCTGGGGGCGCGCAGGCTTAGGAGGGGCCTGAGCCTGAACGGGGCGTTTCTGGGGTGTGCTAGCCGGATGCACAGAGACAGTGGACCAGCTGGCCTGAGGCAAAGGGAAGCCTTTTACCTAAAGAAGTTCTAGGCCTGGGTGTGAGCTGCCCGGTTGGGGATTTATGATCAGACCGCCCAGTGAGGTGACTTTCCATAGAACCCCATTTCCATTGTTAACGTAAGAAATCATTCAAACCTGTGAAGAATTTTTGTGAGCTTATTTGAGCCAAATTATGGCCAGCTGCCGGGGAGCCAATATCTTAACGGGTTGAGATCATGCTCCGGGGAATGGCAGTTTTGCACCTGGCTTTATGCGTTACAATCAAAGGGGGAGACATAAGTGGGTTACACAGAATCCATTGTGATAGATTAGGGGGGTGGGAGAAAGCCAAGCGGGGAAACCTCTGGGATTGGGTAAAAAGTAAAATGATAGACACAGACTTCTTTTACGTGGGTGGGTACCGGATACTTAACAGTTAACAAGATACCAATAACAATGAGAGGATCCCTGTTCTTGGCACCTGAGGGCAGGCGGGAAAAGGGAAATTACTTTGTTTTGCAAAGGCCTGTGTTAATCAGATATGTTATCTCAGATGCAAAAGACAACCGACTGGCTTAGTTAAGGTGAAAATTAACTAATTTTCCTCTGTTAGGGCAAAATACTGCCTTAGGGCTTGACTACCCACCCAACTGCTTTCAGTTAAAAAGTTTTCATTTCAGACCAGCCTTTGTGGTTATTTTAGGTCTCTGAGATTTTGAGGCCACCATGCATGCCTGCCCTGAGTTTTTCAGGTTTAGTATGTGGCCCCTTTTCATCCACACTGTCCACACCCCACTCCTCCAGCACCCCTGGGTTGGGACCCTTCCCAGCCCCATCCTGCAGCTGGGAGTCCCTGGGGAGAAGTAACTCTCCACCCTCATTTGTCCGGAAGGAAATGCAGCCAAGGCCCTAGCAGCTGAGCAGCAGTCATCCCGGGCTCCCTCAGAACCTGGGGGGTCCCATGTGTCCCCCAGTCGGGAGCTTCCAGAGGGTGGTGCCTCTTGCCCTGACTGCCCAACATAGAGGTCCTCCTGACCATATCCCTGGCCTGGAGGAACCTGTGGGGGGCCCCAGGATGGTGACAAGTCCCTCTCATATCCAGGCCCATCCTGCTTCCTAGCTGAGCCTCGAGCTCCTTGACACACTGTGTGGGAGACGCCACCCCAGGTGCTGCCCAGGGGGGCCTCATGGGACCACCTGGCAGGGCTCACAACTGCCTGGCCCTGTTCCTGCTGCGGAGCCTCTCTCATGGTCCCCACCCATCTGTACAGTGTGCACCCAGGCCAGCTCACTGCCTCCTCCAGGCAGCCTTGGGGGATTCTCCCACAGGGGGCGCCTCCCTCTGGAATATGCTTCCTTTCTTGAAACCTGGGTGTGTTTTTTTTTTCCTCTGGACAGCAAAGATTCTTTTCTTTGTGATGTAAAATGTCATGTCATTCCTGAGTAAAAAGTTGCAGCTCCCTTTGTCCCTAGCCCCCCCATCCTGCACAGTCACGTGACTGGCGCCCCCAGACCCTTTCCTGAAAGTTGCACACCTTGGGGCTGTGCTCCTCCCTCAAGCACCCAGGGTTGGTGGCGCCTGGCGGGGACTGTGTTTATCAGACCCACCCAGGTGGAAGGGCTGGCATTTGGCTGTTTTGAGCTACAAACCTGGCAATTTCACTTGGTTCCGCTTAGTGTGAACTTCTCGCCTCCAGGCCGGGAGCCTCATTCCCTGCTTGGCCCCTTTTCCAGGGGCATGGTTGGCCCTGGCCATGCTTGTTGGATGTTTGAATGGCTGGCATTGGACCAGGCATTTTTCTCTCTGGGCTTCAGTTTTCCATCAGTGACCAGATTCTCTAAGTCACCTCACATTTCCCAGAGGGCCACACGCAGCGTGTGGGGGCAGGCAGGTCTGGGGGCAGGGGGCAGCTAGCTTCTGGAGGTGTAGAGCCCTGGGCATGCAGCCCCAAGCTCATTCATGCCCACCCTGCCTGTACCCACTGCCCCCTGAAGGAGCTAGGGGTTAGAATTCAGTTCTTGGGGTCCACCTAAAGATGCACTGGCAGCACCCTCACTGCTCTGGCACCTGTCACCCACCCCCAGCCCTTGATGCCTCTATAGGGAGTCCTGTTGCCATGGGAATGTCCCCAGCCCGGGTGTGCAAGTTGAAGTTGGGGTGACCTCCCTTTCCTGGGTTCCAGGCGGGGGACGATTCTACTGGTCACGAGCCCATTCTGCACAGGGATGACCTGGAGTCCCTCCTGAGCGAGGTAATGCATCACTTAGCCTCTACCTTGCCCTTTATGGCTCTCCTGAACCCCCACACCCAAGCCAGCCAGCACCAGAGCCACAGGAGGGGCTAGGGAACGTTGCTCTGGGTGCTCCAAGCACCCCAGGGCAACGTGCTCCAGCATGGCACTGACCCTCTACACACGAGTGCACAAATGCACCAAGGGACCCCAAGCTCCTCCCCCTTCTACCTGGCTCCAAGGCCCTGGTGACTGGACGTGGGGGGCCGAAGGCTTCAGAGCCCCAGCGACAGGGCCATCAAAGCCTGACTTGGAGGCCATGACTTTCCCTTGGGTGGGATGGGTCCCCAGGAGCTCTGTTCTCTGTGGGTCTCTCACTCCGGCTTTCAACCCAGGCCTCTCTGCCCAGAGATGAACAGCCAGGTTTGCTGGGAAGAAAATGTGGCTTTTAGGGGCCTCATCTACTTTGGACAGGAAGTCAACACCTCCAGCCACTCCCCTACCCAGGTGGCCAGATGTGGGCAGGGTGGGCCACCTGTCCCCGGAGGTTCTGGCCAGGTCCCAGTGCCCTCTTTCTGCTCTGTCCTGCAGCACTCCTTCGACGGCATCCTGCAGTGGGCCATCCAGAGCATGTCCCGCCCGCTGGCCGAGGCGCCCACCTTCCCATCTTGATCCAGGAGGGCCCAGGCCTGGCAGCATGCGAGGAAGAGGGGCTGAGTGAGATCAGCCCCCCATCCCTGCATCAGTGGACCTGTGAGTGCCCACTCCTGCTCATGGTGACTCTGCTCTGAGAGGGACAGAGGGGACAAGCTCCCTCACCCCTGGAGCTGTCCAGGTTAGAGCCAAGAGGAACTGAAAAGCTTGAAGTACTGTCAACGCCGCTTGTGAACACAGCCCATCTTTGTAAACACAAAGCCACCATGTGCACTAAATTAAAGTCACTTCTGTGTGAGGTTAACATGTCCTCCAGTGGCTGGGGTGTGCTTATTTTGGGGGTGGGAACCCCTGCGTTTCTGGTGTCTGAAGTGTAGGCGGAACTGGCTGGATGGGAACTCCCTGAAATGGGAAGAGAAATGCCTGTGAGCAGGAATCACACCGAGAAGTGAACAGCGCTCCACCTGCCCCGGTTTTCCTATGCTGCCCGGGGCCCAGGAGCAAAGTCCAAGTCCCAGGTTGGTCTGGTCCCGCCCACCTCTGCCTCTGCCCCTGCCCCTGCCATGCTCCTGCCCAGCTCTGTTCTCCAGGGGCCAAGTTCACCCCACCCCAGGGCCTTTGCAGGGCTGCTCCCTCTGCTCAGATTTCCTTCCCTTGGTGCTTCGCAGTCTGTTTCTCAACACTGAGAGCTCAGCTCCAGTGCCGCCTCCTTCATTCAGTCATTCATTCACTCAAGAAACCTGCCTTGTGGCTCAGAAAAGACTATTTCAGACACACACTCAGGGTAGCGAGGCAGGCCTGGCTCTCAGCTCGGTACCTGAACTGGCCCGAGTGCACGCCTCACGCTTCTGTAACTGGAGCTGTTGTCATCTGACTGTGGACTTGGTGCTCCGAGGACAGTTTTGAGAGGCTGCACATCTGTTAATTCTCCCAGGACTCTGAGAGCCCCACAGGAGGTCAGCGGCAGCCCCTCTGTGCCCAGCTGCACCCCCCCAGCCCCCCATAGAGAGCGAGCTCCACAAAGGAACCCTTTCCCTAAGTGATGACGGCAGCTGCTCCCCAGTCTCAGGGAGGCTCCTGCCTTCTAGCCACGGCCTCCTCTCCATCCCTCCAGGGCACAGTCCCCTTTGTGACTTTTGTGGAGCTACTTGTTCACTGTCCATCTCTGATCCAGACCCTGTCACCAGGGGCAGGTACATGTTGCTGACGGTGCGGAGCCCCGGCTGAGCAAAGCCAGGCACAGGGGCCACTGGCAGACACTTCTAGAATAAGTGAGAAAGACTGAGAGTGAAGCTAACGTCCGTATTCAAGGAACATTTGAAAAATGTTATAGCCACAGACTGGGGTGTTAGCCAGACAATAAGAATGACACCCATAAGCCTGGTGGGTAAACATACGTTATTACATTATATTTATTTATATAATACCTATGTGTGCACACACAGTGTGTATATATACATGTAGAGAGAGGTGTGTATAGCCTACCTATGTATAAAGAAAATGTGTGTGTATGTATACATTTATATATACATAAATATAGAAACAAAGACGTATGTACTTTGTCTACTGATTTATAGAAGAAAAACTGTATAGTTAGTATATACAGGGTGGGGCAAATATACAGGGTTAGTATATACAGTGGTGAGTGCTGGAAAGCTTATTCTTGTATATTTATTATTGTATTGTTTTCCATAGGAACAGCCGTAAGCCTCCTTTCGCCCCACTCCGCATATGGAAAGGAGGGAGAGTGCATGTAAAGAGCATGTCTGTGTGCACATGTGTGTATGTGTACGCCTGTATACACACGTGTGTATGCCTAGGCGTCGGGCTGCGCTAGGGCCCAGCCGTTTCTAGCCCTGAAGAGCTCTGCTAGGCTGGGTGTGAGCTCAGAGCGCCTGGGAGATGGTGAAGCGGGCCTTCGATAAACGGGCGCCTTCGTCAGGCCGAACGGGTTTAGGACCTTAGAGCTGGCCGCGGTCCCCCGGGGCCGCAGAGCCCGCTAGTGCGGCGCTGGCCCCGCGAGCTG